TTAAGGACTGTTGGTTGATCCAACGGTTTAGATTCAAATTTCATTTTTAAATCTAACAGTAAAAAAAAGATCTAACGGCTCAAATTAAAATTCAATGGCTAAAATAATTAAATAAATTTATTTAATACAAAATTTACCCAAAAACTCTATAAATACCTATGTATTTGTTTAAACATCCACACAAAACTCAATTTTCTTCTACAATTCTTCCAATTTATCTTTCTACCATTTCTTTCCATTTCCAAATTGTTCAACATGGCAAGAGAGCATGTTGGAGGTCGTAATTGGACCTATGAGGAAGATGTTTCTTTATGCTTGGCATGGGTTTCTGTTAGCGAAGATGGTGCACTTGGCACAAATCAAAATAAAAAGGTTTTGTGGGATAAAATCATTGTAAAGTTTCAAGAAACTGTAACGGCGGCGGGCGGGACGGTGGTGGTGTTTATGATCGGTGGAAGACTATCAACAAAGCATGCACTTTATGGAAGGGAAGCTTGGAGGGAGCCATGGTTGGCATGCCTAGTGGAAGGAGCGCCATAGAAACTGTGAGTTTTTTTCTTGATATTTTATTTGTCATGTACATAATATTATTTTGCAACTAATTATTTTTATGTATTTTTTGCATAGGGTGACAAAGCAATGGAAATTTACAAGACAAGAGTAACACACAAAAATCAAGTTTTTAAGTTGCAACATGCTTGGGACGTCCTCAAGGATTGTTCAAGGTGGGCAACCAATGTAGACCAACAATGGGGAAAATTATTTCAACGTGAAGCCGCACCGAGAAATGAAGGTGTCAATGAAATGACCCCATCTCCTTCTTTAGCAAGGCCCCCAGGAAGAGATAAGCAAAATGAAGCAAAGAGAAAAGGGAAGTCCCAAGATTCGACGAGTGGAGACTTTGCTACCGGAATTGCAAAAATGCACGAAACTCATAGCGCTCGCCAAGAAGAAGCGGCCCGAATGCGTTTTACAAATGAAGGAAATCTCGGATAGGGAGGAAAATAGGTTTGAAATTGAATTCATGATGAAGGACCTCAACAAATACACTCCAGAGAGGAAGAAGTTCTTACGTGATAAGTAAAAGGAAATTATGCGAAAGTCTGCCTCAAGGAGTATGTTTCAAGATGATGAATCCTCTGAACCTTATATCCCAACATTTCAACGAAGTCCATCACCAAGTGAAGATGGTGGATATGATTGTTAAGTTTATGTAGTGTATGAATTATGTGCTTTATTAATTGTCGTTTGTATTAAGTTTATGTGGTTTATGTACTTTATTAAATTTATGTCTTATTAATTATTGTTTCTATTTAATCTAGATGTCTTCAATAATTATTGTACTTATTATTCCACACTTTGATGTAGAATATATGGCTTCAATAATTCAACCTCCATTCAATAAATTATCCAATGTAGTAGACAAATAACAACATAGTACACTTAAAATTATTACATAAATGCTCAACCAACATCATCAACGTTCACCTTCTCGGCGCTATACATGCTCAACCAAATCCTTGCGAAGTGTGTCATGAATTTGAGGAGCATGAATTCTATTTAAACGTCTTATATACTCACCCAAGGTGACCCTATCATGTTGCGTCTCGTATGTGGTTGGAGCGAAATATTCAACACCTCTTGCAATAGCTCTCACATGTGTTGGTTGGTCATCATCCACATCTTCGTCTGAATCTTCTTCAACTTTGATGTACTCATCTTTCACAATCATATTGTGCAAAATTATGCACGTCATCATGATTGAATAGAGGTCTTCGGGTTGCCAAAATCATACAGGCCCTCTAACAATGGCTCATCGAGTTTGTAAGATCCCGAACGCTCTCTCCACATCCTTCCTGTAAAACTCTTGCCTCTGCAAAAATAATATCTTCTTTGCACTATCGGGATGAGAAAAACTTTTGACAAAGGTAGACCAACTAGAATAAATACCATCAATTAGGTAGTAACCTAGCTCATACCTATTACCATTTACCTTGTATCGAAATTCTGGTGCCCATCCATTCACAACTTCATTGAACAGAGGAGAAGACCAAAGAACGTTGATATCGTTGTTTGATCCGGAAGAGCCGAAGAGTGCATGCCAAATCCATGTGTCGTAAGATGCCACAGCCTCCAGCACGATGGTTGGCTTGTTATGACGGCCCTTGAATTGGCCAGCCCAACCAGTAGGACAATTTTTCCACTCCCAATGCATACAATCGAAACTTCCTATCATGCCAGGGAAGCCTCTTTTGTCTGCCTTACGTAGAAGCCTTTTCAAGTCTTCACGAGTTGGCTTGAAGAGGTATATGGCTCCATAGATAGCTTAAATTGCTTGACATAAGCGCTTCAGGTTCTCAATAGCAGTACTCCGCAAGTTGGCAATATTCGTCAGTTGAGTCAGCAGAGCACCCATTAGCTAGCATTCGAAATGCAGATGTGAGCTTCTGATGAAGTGATAGACTTTGTCGGCCTACAACATCTATCTTCCTTGCAAAGTAGTGGTCATGATTGACAACTGCGTTCAAGATGCCTTCAAAAAGCTCTCTCCTCATCCGAAACCGCCTCCGAAAATCATGAGCAGGAAATCTCGGCCGCTCAATGAAATAATCTTTCATCATTTGGTCATGACACTCTTCTCTATCACACTGCACAAATGAACGCCTTGTGACAAAACCACGATGGCTAGATTCGCCATGGTGCTCATATTGCATAAATGAGTTTACAAGTTCAGCTTCGGCGTTGATCAGTTCTAAATCCTCAATGTCAAGCCTTGCTTGGTATTGTGTCATCTCTATTGCCCTACTACGCCTTCTTCTATCACTCATTGATGAGATATTGAGAATTTTTAGGAAACAAAAACTCTTTGAAAGTTGAAAGATTGGTGAATATAGAGGATGATTGAAGGTTGAAAGATTGTGTGATCAACTAATATTGGACATGTGTTTATATAGAGGATGATTGATGAACGGTTGGTGAAAGTTGAAAGTTTGGTGTTGAACGGTTGGTGAAAGTTGAAAGCTTGCGTTGTGAAAAATTTAATGATTTTTCAATATTTATCGGAATTTAAATTTTTTTAGATTAAAATGTTCATAAAATTAATTTACAATAGTCTACATATTTATTTTGTTTAAAATTGATTTAAGAAAAAAATTAGCCTAAGTTCATTCTTTAATAATTACAGGCTAAAATTTTAGGTCAGAAGGGTTGGAGCAGAAAAGATGTTTCTGGGCTAAAAGCCAAAATTTTTGGGCTAAAAAATTTGGCTTTTAGCCCAAGGGTTGGAGATTGTCTAAACACTTCAAATAAATTCAATCATTATCCCAAAACACTTCAAATAAATTCAATCATTATCTCTTGTTACGGTCCTTTATCACAAATCAAACCTTTAAAACTAATGACACGCTCCAACCTCGATATCCCACATACTAGGGTAGGCACGTGCTCACAAACACTTGAGGGTGACGAAGCCATTTTTGACATGTATGCAATTAAAAGATATGTAATTTGAACAATTATACCAAAGATGGAACGTGTTGAGAGCATACAACTAACTAAGAATCATATGAAAGAATTACTAGGTAAAGATATGATTAAAGGAATGATACCTACACTGAGAAGACTTGAGGATACTTAAGCCAAAGTGCCCTGATACAGGGATCATGTGCCTCGATCCTAACTCAGATTTTTCATTGCCCGGGAGCCGCTCAAACTAGCAAGGATGGAGTCGCTTCCCACCGATGCACTTATCTCATGGCCTGACATGGCCGGAATTTGTCGAAAAACGGTCGGCAGGTCTCGGGTTCTCTCGCTGGAATTTGGGCACGACATCTCCGCATTATAACTTCGCCGGAGACGGCGAGAACTCGCCAAGAAACTCAGTGTACCATGTAATATCATCGTGCAATGGGAGAGATGGAGGAGGAGGAGCCTCAATCGATATGGGGTCAAGATGGTGGTGGGGTCGTGAGAGGGTGAGCTACGGTGGTGAGGTCATTATTGTTATATATGTGTGCATGCCAGTATATGTGTGTGATGCAAGGGTATGTGTGTGAGGGCTTGGGAAGGAGAAGAGAGAGGTGGCTGAGAGATAAGAGATGGGAGCTGAGGGAGGATGGTGTGTCCCCGGAGAAAAAAGAGAGGAAGAGGGTTTTAGAAAGAGAAATGGAGAGAAAATTATAGAGAGAGAATGAGAACTTGGGGAAAAAAGGGCTCCCCAGAAATGGGGAGGAAACCTGCCACGTGTTAGCACCAAAGTGGTTCATGATGGAGAAATATCTCCAATTGTAAAATTACCAAAATTCCCTTATTGTTTCGAGTCCCGTAAAATCTTCGTTTTAACTCCAATTTCAATTCCGCTCGTGCCCACGTGTTTGTAACAACGAGTACTACAAAGATATGCCAAGGAAACAAGTCTTACATGTCACGACAACGATCAACAAAAGTCAACACTTTGCCTCAAGGGGTATTTTCGTAAATTCACTCATTAAAATTATAAAAACCGTAAAATTGGGAATGGATAGTTACAACTAAACCCATCATTCATCTTTTATTTATAAAAATAAAAAATCTTGCCCCACACTCTAATCTAATCTCTCTCATGGTATAACCTAGAGATTTGAGAGCTATTACTTATCTCATTCTCGAAATTTCATATTTTTTGTCATTCCAAATTCTAAATCCATTCAACTTATCAACAAAAAATTACAAATTCATTCAATGAGTAACAATAAGATTTGTAAATCTTCATTATTGTCTATAATTTTTATTTGTTTCTACTCTATTCTACCTCTTACATTATTTTATCAACAACGAAATTTATTAAAGATGAAAACCACTAGTACACAATCAAATCTGAAAGCCTCCATAGCCGAACTAGGGAGGCAACAGTCCCAGATGCAATGATTAACTAAAGAAAGCCCCACATGGGCTAAAGTATCAGCAACAAAATTCGCCTATCTGAAAATGTGGTTCCAATTTAACTTGAAAATATGAGGCCAATCGTTTGATATCATTGATAATCTAGCTAAGGTGCCAAGGAGGAGTCCACTTACCTCGAGCCATCTGGATAACTAACTTTAAGTCCTTTTCAAGCATCAATTTTTGGATAACCTTCATCCTTGCAAGCAGCAATCCTTCCTTCAAGGCAGTAGCTTCCACAATAGTGATAGTGGCACAGTAAGGCCTAAAATGCCACCTCCCCGGAGTGATAGCAATATACATCCACTCCACAGGGTTAGACCCAGAGTGAATATAAGGCCAAGCTCTCCCCCACGAGGGAAGGATCTAATCAGGTGGTTCTCGGATCGATCGCATTAACTAATCCTGTATCCGTAGTCAAAGCACTCCAAGTGGAGTCGGTTCACTCCTGGAGTACGGATTGGGCCATGTATCCTTGCTCAAGTGCTAGCCTATCTTGCCTAGATTGCGCGGTACCTCCTCGCCTATGTGAAATGTCAGACTGCGCCTACTAACGCGGCTGCGCATGCGCCTTCAAGCCACGATGTGGAAGAGATAAATGGTCTTTCCCTGATGTGGCGTACGTACGTCAGAATGGTCCCCTTGATGCCCACATCTCTGATGACTCTGGGGAATGTCGGATGACATGGACCGACTTTGCAACGCTTATAAATACGACTGATGGCTCCTAAAAAAGGTTAGACATTCAAAACCCCTAAAAAGGTACCACACCAGCATCCTCCCCTACCTTGCTGACTTAACCATCGGAGCCTCCATGCCAAAACCACCCCCCAACGCTTGGACTCAGAATATGTGCTTGTTTTTTACCTATGCAGGTTCCTTACTTAGCAGTCACAAAAAAATGACTACAACAGACACCATCCAAATTTAACGCCCCTGCACCAATAGGTCTCCCCTACTGATCCTACCTCTTACTTGACTGTTAAGGTTTGTAATTATTCATTGGTTCTCCCTATTGAGTCTAATAATTCTTTCAGTAGTATAGATGAAGAGGTTATTGTGCTATTGTTTCAAAATATGACAACTCGTTGAGGATAAATATTATTATTTTGGATACGTATTATGATTTTTTTGGTTAGTGATTTTATATATACTACTCTTTTTTTCTTTTACATTGTGAGAGGCTCCTTCTCACAAGAAATCCTGGCTCCACCACTGTCCAGTATGCTACTATACTCCTTAAAATGAGTACTCAAATATCAAAAGCTTATTAGGTGTCATTTGTACACTTTTTTTTGTGGAGTTTTTTTTTGCATTTATGGTCAAATGATCGTCACCTGAAATTATTTCTCATTTTGACAAATGAGCACACTAAGGCCTCGTTTGGCAGTTCGAACTGTATTGACTATTTCAGTCAGATAGGATAATTTGTCATTGGATAGTATTGACTATTTAATTGGGGGTTTGGTGCAGTACCGGATTAAAAACTCAATTCATCAAAGATTATTATGTTCATTTACTTCCTCAAAATGAGGTTGAAGAACATTTATAGCACTGAGTTTCACAATTTAAAACTAGCAAGAGAAATGGAAAAAGAGTCAGCTTGATTTTGTTTTCAGCGACCCGACTAATTATATAAGTTATCTGGTGTACGTCGTATAAAATAGGTCGGACCGCATAAAAAATCTGGTGCTAATTTAATACGGAATGACACCAAACACCGGATAGTATTAAATAGTACTATCCAGTGTGTTATCCGGCATGCCAAACATGCCCTAAATATGCTACTAAATCTCTAAATTAAAATGAGTACTCAAAAGATTAAATGCTTATTAGGTGTTATTTATACACCTTTTTTTTTTGGAGTGTTTTTGCATTTATGGAGTCAAAAGATCGTCACCCAAACATATCCAATATGGCAACTAGACCCTTAAAAATGAGTACTGAAATTCTTATTGGTGTAGAAAGTTGCTTAAAGTAAATTTATCCACATTGCTTGCAAATTTTCATTAAGAACAAATTATTTTACAAAGTTTCAATATTACATCGATGCATTATTTGTAGAAATTTCAAAACTAAGCACTTAGCCTGATATCGATAATTCTCTAATTTGGTCCACAAATATACCTACCGAAATACAATATATACCAAGAAAAGAAGGAAAATCAAACGAACTCAAATAAAGTAACGCAAGAAAAAAAAATTCAATGAAAAAAAAAAGAAGATAAAAGTAAAAAACAAAATTGGATTAGGGGACTATAAATACAAAGATATCGATATTTCTCTATTTATTTTAGATATTTTTGTTTTATATTAAAATATATTTTGAAAAATAATGAATTCACTAACCAGCTTACATGTTTTTGTAATCTTTTTTTTTTTTTTTTTTTTTTTTTTGAAATTCTAATGAGAGAAGGGCAATTTGGATATTATGAAAGCTTCACCCTTTTTTATTTCTCCTTTTACATACTAGCATATGGGCACACACAAAGTGTATATGAAATTTTTTTAATTTTGTTTTTGAAGTAGAAGGAGAGAGGAAGAGAGCGATAGGGAATGTGGGGATGGGGAAAGGCTTTATTTTTTATTTTTTTATTTATATTTATGTTTTTAGTTTTTAATTAGAGATATGTTAAAATTACATGTAGGTGAGACTTTGAAGAAAAAAAAAGAAAAATTTGGTTGTGTGAAATTACATTTCTGCCCATATTTCTTATTCATGTTCAGTTTTAATTAGATGGTTAAACTGATAATTTCATAGGATTTTGGTTGACAATGAATGTTTTATTAATATGTAGTTTAGATATAGATAAATTATATATATATCTGTACATTAGACTCAATCTGAGAATTTTGGTAAAGTTTTGATGTAATATGTGATCAACTTGAAAGATTTTAGATATATTTCGATTAAAATTTTGGTGCAATTACGATCATAAAATTCCTTATGGTTGCTAGTCAATATATCAATAGTATAATTTGAAATTGAAAGGCAATAAAACAAAAATTGTCTTAACATCTAAAGTGCCTATTAATAGAACTTTGTTTGTCAATCAAAATTCTATAAAATTACCATTTTAACCCCCTCATCAAAACTGACAAAAATAATAAACATTGGCAATTTAGAATTGCATGCAACATAAATTTTATGAGTAAACAGTCGATTTACTCTCTGAACTTTCACTTAACTTTCGATTTCCCTCATGAACTTTTTTATTGGAAAATTAAGGACTCAAACTAATTTTTTTAGCCGATTTGCCTCCTACCGTTAGTTTTTCATATATTTCATCCATATTTCTGTTAAGTGAGACCATGTGCACAACATGTGAGGGTAGTTAAGTCATTTCACTCATAAAAATGATTAAAAAAATTAAAAATAAATAAAAAACAAAACTTTCCCTTTATTTTTTCCTTCTAATTCCTATCCTCAATTTAATTTTTCCCTCTCATTCATTTGCATGAGAAATGGCATATGGTGTTATTGTCTTTATAAGTAGCTAAGTTAGTCTTTTTCTTGAAGCATGTACTACCATTTTTATTTTCTCTAACAAATTAATAATTTGACAAATGCTCATGGTGTTATTGTCTCTAAAGCAGTGCATTAATATAAGAAACATGTTCATAATACTCATAAAAAATGCTCAAGATAATTACATACTTTTCATAATGTCATAATAATCCCAATACAATTCCACAAAATGATCCTTAAGAAGTTGGAAAACATAAGAGATTTTACCATCCATAAGGTATATAACCCATAGAATCTCGATTACAAAATATGGTCATTCCACTTAACCAAACACAAGCAAAATAAGGTTTTAGTTATCAAAACAAGAGCACAAACATTCTGCTCGAAACGCACATGACACATGGAGATCAACTACACTTTTCATGGCCTTCCTCGTTTGGTTGGAATTTTGTACCTAAACCTATTTTCATTTCTGATGGTTGAGTAAGGTTAAGGGTGTTATGTTTTCCAACTTATGGTATTGGGATATATATCTGTACATTAGACTCAATCTGAGAATTTTGGTAAAGTTTTGATGTAATATGTGATCAATTTGAGAGATTTTAGATATATTTCAATTAAAATTTTGGTGCAATTGCGATCATAAAATTCCTTATAGTTGCTAGTCAATATATCAATAGTATAATTTGAAATTGAAAGGCAATAAAAAAAAATTGTCTTAACATCTAAAGTGCCTATTAATAGAAATTTGTTTGTCAATCAAAATTCTATAAAAGTACCATTTTAACCCCCTCATCAAAATTGACAAAAATAAAAAACATTGGCAATTTAGAATTGCATGCAACATAAATTTTTTGCTTTTTACACCAACCTCACACCCATGTAAACATAACATATCCTATTGAAAAATAAAAAATAAAAAATAAGTCAATGTTAAAAAAAACTGCTCCATCATTGTCCCATTTTTCCTACTGATTTTTTTAACTTTAAAAACTAATCACGCTTCTCAATTAAAAAAATGAAATGAAATAAAATTATTCACACACATACTAGGTATCTGCTATTATCAATAGTATAATTTGAAATTGAATATTTTTGTATAGATAAAATTAAACAAATAAATGAATAACTCGATTAAAATGTAGGAATTGGTCATAGTACCCTTTTCCTAAATTGAGATTTAAGGAGCGTGAAATGCGGCCGACACAGGCTTGACAAAGCAACACGTGTAGGGAAGGCAGCGGCACGACCTCCTTCTACCTTCCATAACGGTCTGAATAACTGCCACGTTGATCCGAAACGCGTCACGTTGAAAACCTGTCTGATCGATGGACGCCCAAACTTCTCTCTCCGACTTAATTTCTCCAACAGTCGAAGAAGAAGCAGCAATTCTCAGACGCATATTTACATACAAATGCAATGAGCTCGCTCTTCAAAACTCTCATGCTTCCAGTAGCATTTCGAAATATTCTTACCAACCCGACATATATCCAGTGCTCAGGAGTGAAAATCCGATAAAAAAGAAAGAAAAAAGATTGATCATGGGGAGGAAGACAGTGTTTTTAATGGCGGCGGTGCTGTGGCTGAGTATGGCGGCCGGAAGTTGGAGCGAGGATTCTGCTGTGGACAATGCCAGGGACAACTTGAACTTGGCAGCTGGAAATGCTAAGGAAACCACCGAATCGTGGTTTGATCGGGCCTTCAACAAAATCGCAGAGTAATCATTTTCTATTTTTGTTTTCAACTTTTAATTCCCTTCCTCGTGCCATTTATTTAGCCAGACATACACAATTGAAAATGGTCACAAACTATTAAGAAGAAATGAAACTCGAAGGATATTAACACGTGAAGAAGACTCTTCAAAGAAATCATTACTCTCTGTCACGATGTTGCATCATTTTAACGTTCAAAAGATATGATCATAACTGTTTATGCTCTTTAATATTATCAAAATATTAGCAATTTATTTGATTTACAGACCGTTTAGTCATAATTCCTATGAATGCAACAAATTGAGAACGTTAATTGTTGGTATAATTCGTTCCATCCCTACCAATGAGAGTAAACAGTCTTCAAATCAAGATGATTTTTAGATGATAAGGAGAATGAATCATTTTTGTTACTACGTTTGTGCGGTAAAATGTAGTTATTATTTTATGAGGAATTACTCAACTCACAAGTGTTATCCTTAAAGGAATACCAAAGTGATGTATGTTCAGTGTTGTTCTACTTTTTTTATTGAAAGTTTGCAAAGATTTGCATTGGGTATAACCCTTTTATTTATGCACCATTCCCTTTGTGTTTGCACGTTTTACTTTTGAACACCCTTTTACATCAATTAATCTGCTTATTTTTCTATGCTAATACAGTCTTACTAATTACAAAAAATTGGATTATAATCCTTAAATAAGGCCAATTTTTCATTAAAGTTGGGTGTGAGATTAGATATTGACTTTGGTCCTTGACTTTATATCCATCTCATCATTTTTCTACATTCCACTTAAATCTAGCTAATAGTTATTGACTTTTGTTTTGTTTTGTTTTGTTTTTGAGTATTTTTAGGGTATTGGGTTTCCACCCATGCGTCCCACGTTCGAAACGTCGCCCTTCCCTTTAATGATAATAAAATTTTAAGAAAAACTTTAATACCTGTAAACATTTACAATGTGCTATTAGATATCATGCTTCTATAAAAACAAACCTCAAACAAAGTTGAGAGAGACCCTTCAAACAGAAGTAGGAGAAACAATCTTATACATATGAATCTATACATGAACATATATATTTTATGTACCGATACAAATGCACCTATGTATAGGGGCATTTAGACTTACCTAAGTAAGATATATAGGTGCATACATATAGGTTCATATGTATAGGTACACAAATATACAGATATAGGTGCATGTATACACACTTCGACAATGTTAAGTTTTATACAAAACTACCTCAAGGGCTCAATTGATTTGTGAAATTCTTATGTTGCCTTTCCCCCATACAAAACCGGTTTTTATCTTTTTGTTCTTTCCCTGTGGTGTTGATCAGTTTGAAGGGTTTTCAAAATGTGATGTTTCAAAAGCCCTTGTTTTTATATTGCTGTTCAGATATGGTGACATATGTATACGAGAATTTACTTCCCCAAATGCATGAGGTTGGTCTATCAGTCCGTTTTGATGGTTCTTAGGATAAGTGTTTAGTATATATGTAAGACTAAAAAGGGCGACCCCAAGCCAACAAGGCTCCCCGCTTTGTGAGGGTCCCGGGGGAGGGGAGGGGGGTTGGGGAACGTTTGTCTTATGCAGCCTGACTCTTGCTTTGTAAAGAGATTGTTTTCACGATTTGAACCCGTAACCTTTCAGTCACAAAAAATCAACATTTTCATTGCCCTAGACTGTATGTCTTAAATTTATGCCAAGTGTGTATAATATAACAGGTATATTGATCCATTAGGCCTCTTTGCTAACAGCTCAAGCTCTGAGATTTTGGGTTCGATGCTCTATAGTATGCTGCATAAACGTGTTAATGGTTGTTGATCATTGATAAGTTGTGTGGTATGGTGCTGTCCAGGGGTCTTGGATTTAGCCAGGATAATGCAAAAGATGCTGCTAACAATGCGATGGAGAAAGCTGGAGATGCAGCGTCTACGGCCACAGATAGATTAAAAACAAGCACATTTGGAACACGTAATTATCAATTTACCTTAATTCTTTTTCAGATGAAGTGCTTAATAAGTAAATAATTAGGTCTTCAAAAAAGTATAATTGATTTCATGCTTCTGGGTTTATTTTCTGTTCTCCCTAAATGGATCATCATACTGTTCTGTTCCTGATTCCCAAATGGCAGCGGATGCAGGCAAGTTTGGTCATGACAGCTTTGATTCGTCTATAAGAATGCCTACCGATAAGGTTGACAATGCCAAAGAGATGGTGAGAGGGACAATGGATTGTGGAATGGAGAGAGCAGCAAATGCCTATGGTGAAGCAAAGGATACAGTGAATAATGTTGTGGGTGCGGCTTCTGATAAGGCTCGTGATGCAGTGGAGTATGGAAAAGAAACAGCTGCCAATGCATATAATACCGATAAAGTTCACAATGCGAAAGAGACGGTAAAAGGGGCAGTGGGTTCCGGAATAGACAGAGCAGAGAATGCCTATGGTGATGCAAAAAATAAAATGAATAGCGCTATGGGTGCGGTTTCTGATAAGGTTAATGATGCAATGGAGTATGGAAAAGTAAGTGCCTCCGATGCTTATAACACCGATAGAGTTGAGAAAGCCAAAGAGACAGTGAGAGGGTTTGTAGGTTCGGGAATGGACAAAGCCACGGATGCCTATGGCGAAGCAAAGAATACAATGAATAGGGCTAGGGACGCGGCTTCTGATAAGGCTAATGATGCCGTGGAGTATGGAAAAGAAACAGCTTCCAATGCATATAATAGCGACAGACTTGACAATGCCAAAGAGACTGTGAAAGGGGCAATGGGTTCCGGAGTGGAAAAAGCAGCGAATGCCTATGGTGAAGCAAAGAATACAGTGAATCGGGCAGTGGATATGACGTCTGACAAGGCTAATGATGCAGTGGAATATGGTAAACAAAAAACTGCCAATGCATATGATGGAGCCAAAGAGACAATGAACATGGCCTCGGATAAGGCCTACGATGCCAAAGAAAAGGTGGCGGGAGGAGTTGATTATGGAAGGGAAAGAGCAACGAATTCATATGATGAAGCGAAACAAAAGGTTGGGGAGTCGTACGCGTCTGCTAAGGCCTACGATGCCAAAGAAAAGGTGGCAGGAGGAATTGGTTACGGAAGGGAAAGAGCAGCGAATTCATATGATGAAGCTAAACAAAAGGTTGGGGAGTCGTACGCGTCTGTTAAGGATAGTATGACTTCGCATGCCAAAGATAACTATGAGGCTGCCAAGGGAGGAATCGATTACGGAAGGGAAAGAGCAGCGGATGCATATGGTGAAGCCAAACAAAAGGTTGGGGATTCATACGCGTCGGCTAAGGATAGTATGACTTCAAGTGCAAGGCATAACTATGAGGCCGCCAAGGAGTCCGCCTCACAAGCTGCTGGTGATCTCGGGGCTACAATGAGCAATGCAGGTTCGGGCCAGTAAGGAATTAATTAATTTTCCGCTGGCTGAGTGCATGTTAGGTCCATAATCTGTGATCAATATATATGTTTTTTCTCAGTAGCTAGGAAAATGCTGGGAGTTTTGTGGTGTATTATGTATATGTTTCTTGTTTTCTCATACTCTGCCTTGTAGAGTACGTGTAAACTTCTAAAATCAATTTTTAATCCTGTACGTATACAAGGAACTTGAGTTTTGTGTTTTTATATATCATGTATCCTTGTAAACATGCAATGCCCTCTCTCTCTTGAATGTAGGAATATTCATACTCTCAACATAGATTCTTCTAAGTCACGGATGTGACGCAATTGGTTAGATCGGTGTGTGTTTCCATCTGTTCACTCAAGTTTAAGTTTGAATATTGCTCCCCGTAGTTACTGACTTGGAATGAATATAGTTTATAGTAAACATGCATGTACATATTTTTGCGTAACAGCAATATCGAATAAGGTTCTTTTTCTTTATACAAATGATGCGGAGGGAAGTTTCGAGCGCATGATTACAGATGTTAAAATAAATACTCTAATCAGATGAGCGATAAGTCTTTTATACTCTGAGGATGGTTTGAGTCTTTCTAGGGAAGGTTTTGTGAGTATATAAATTTTGTATTACCAAGTGATGTATTGTAATTCTAATGGACAACGGGTTAGCTTATATCTTTGGTTGCAAACTTGCGGTCGAAGTATAAGAAAGATACTAGGAGATGTGTGACGATATGATAAGAAAAACACTAGGGAGATCAAAATTTTTGTACCATGTACAATGCTAAATCACCTGATGTGGCAGCCCATGTGGACATGTCACCTAGTTTAATATAAATTTAAGTTTCTGAAAAAACTTAATCTAAAATAAAGTTTGCTATATAAATACAATTTATGTTGAATAATAATCTTTGCCTAGCAGTAGATGTAATCGTTCCAAGAAAAACCCTTCCTCCTCGCCATGTCACTTAATCTTCACCATGTTTGATAAAAACATAAGAGATTTAAGAGCTTGTTTGATAATCCTTTCGTTTATAATTTTTAGCTTTTTTTTTTTTTTTTTTTTTTTTAGTACGTGTTATAGATGGAGATACATTGAAAAAAAGTGAGTGATACACAGAAGTTCATGAAAAGAAAAAGATTATTGAAACATAGAAGTAGATGACGGATGTCCGGATAGATGTAGAAGAAACTTGTAGGGAAAAACAAACAAAAATGAAAGCTACGACAAAAATAACTATTTGAAATTGTTTTCACTTTAGAGATTTTGTTTTGATTCGTTCTTTGGCATCATCCTTTTTTTCCTTATATCTCTGGCACAAAAGTGAAAACTAAAAACATAAAACGAAATAATTATCAAATAGGTACGAGAATATTAGCACCACGACAAAAAACTGGTTTCTCATTCCCCATTTCCTCTCTTTTTTTTCTTCCTTTTACAGCTTACCCTAGTGAAAAGCTCAAGCTATTGATGAAAATAAAAAAGAAAAGTTGCATGCGAGAGCATTTCTGAGCACAAGAAAATTTGTTGGTATTATTTACGATGTTTCTGAAAGCGACCAAACAGCACATCCAACAAGATAAATGAAGAAATAAAAAATAGCTAGATGGAAGTGAGATTATTATCTACCTCCTCCATATCTCTAGTATATATATATGCAAATATTCCTGATCTAATTAGTCACTAAAATTATCTATTAATTCCCAGTTACAAACCAATTAATTATATCTCAAGGACTTCTTTCCAATTAAACATCAATTATTGTGAAGTTTTAATTGACTTACATTTGCTTCTTCTTCATGGCTTTTTTGTTATTGTGCATCCATACCTTGAACACCTGCCTCTTTATACCCACTTCAGAACACAACTTCTGCACTTCTTGCTCATCATGCTTCTGGATCCTCCACCCCAACTTCTCCGCCACCTCCGTCATCTTCTCCTTCTGCTCTTGACTGAACTTCGTCCTAAACCGCTTCTTCGAACCTTGTGCCTCCTCCGCATAATTTGCACCGCGAAACAATTTATTGTTCATGTTGAGATCCTCACTCGATGACTCCGCAACCACCCCACCACCGCCGCCAAAGGTCATCATCATCGGTGGACTGGGCCCTCCAGCCATAGAATGATAAACAGGAAGCCCCCGTGGTGAGGAGGCTAGCACCGGCAATCTTGTAAGCGCCGAGTCTCTTCGGCTGTTGTGTTGTTGGTGGTTTATGACATAGTAATTATTTGACACATATTCGCCATCGATCTCTTTTCTGTGAAAATTTCTATGACACTCGCAAGCTGCGCATTTTAGTGCTCCCGGAGTGTCTTCATCTCCGCTCGGCATGAACTCTCCGCACCCATCGAGCACGTGGCCGCCGCTGTTGGCAGCGTAGTTTTTCAAACACTCCCTATACCTAATTCTTGATGCTGCTGCACTTGGCGGCGGTGGCGGTGGAGCTGCTGGTGCTTTGAAATTTGTTCCACTAGCAATTGTTGTTGTTGCACTTGGGGTGACAACAAGTGGAGATGGAACTAGATCTGGGTTTGGGTCAGGATCTCTTCTTGATCTATCTAGGGTTTGATGAGGTGGGTGGGTGAAGAGTATGGTGTTATTACCATGATGTCCCGCTGAGGAGAAAGCCGGAGAAGAAGAAAGCTTGGAGGAAGAAGAATCCCTATGGGGAGGAGGAGGAGTATAGGTCAGGGTGCTTGGCATCCTCCCTATGACCTTATTATCTCGCCCTCTCTGTTCCATTAAAATCTGATATCTTATAGCTATTATATACTTGGCCGTGATCTGAGCCTCCGTTTTTTAAAGGGTACTGTAAATTTTCCCAAAACATAAATGAGAAGTGCGTTTACATTACCTATCTTCATGTTCTAATTTATAGTTGTCCCTAATTATATGGATCTTTTTGTAATTTTCTCAGCCCTAATTCACTGTACAGTACCTAGCTAATCCAAGAGCAAAACTTAATAAAAATATAATCACTAACTTAATATTAATATTCTTTATTTTTTTATATTTTTTGTATGATTTTGATATTTTTGGGTGCTTAACACACCAACCCATCTCACAAAATTCAACCAAAGAGGTAAGAAGGTGAGTGATGAGAGAAGAAGGTCCAAAAAAAAAATGAAAAAAACAATATCTTGGAACTCAAACAGGAAAAGAAAAAAGAGGGGGCCCTACTAAATTAGAGCTTAAATTAACCTTACATCTTACAAATTAGACTGTAAAAAGTGGAGAAAGATTGTTGAACTTGCACCAACATCGAAAGCAAGTATTAAGAAGCTGGTTCTGGAATTTGGTTAAATAGAATATAAACCTCGCTAAGCTAAAGCTAATTAGTCTAAGATTAATATCAGAAAGTATAGAGAGATAGAGGGGGGGACTCTTTCTCTTTGGAAGTGAGAAAGTGGTTTGTGTTTCCTACCACCCATCCAAACCCCTGAAATCCATTTGAGAAACAGGAACAGGTGGTTTGGTTTGTACTCAAAATATGAGTGATGAATACACTCAGAGAGAGAGAGAGAGAGAGAGAGTACTCCTTTTGCAGAAGAGCCGACAGGCACACGTTAGTCCTCTCCCACGGCCTGCACACCCTGGTCCAGTTCCTAATTATTGCTCTCTGAAACCCTAAACCACCACCAAATTAATGTGTTTTATGTGTAAGACAGAGAGAGGGAGAGAGAAAAGGAGGGAGAAAAGAAATGTTAGACTTGACGGTGCACTGTCTGCCTGGAATCTTCCTGCAACCTCAAGTTCTCAGCTTAAATCCCCAAAAACAGTTCGAGATTTGATTAGCCGACTCAAAGACCCGATTAGACAGGCTCTAAAACAAGGGTTTAGCTAAAGGGTAATCAGAGTTTAAAAGGGTTTTGCTAAAGATAATTAAAAGAAAGAAAAGATAAAAAGAGCTTGTATGTCAAGTGGTTAAGATTTTGTGTTGGTTGTACCATGTTTGATTTTCTTCTCTTTTGATTCTATAAAAACAAAACGAGAAGAAACAAAAATATGAATATTTTGAAACAAGGTTGGTTGAGAACATTTACTCATTCACTTTTACACCGGGGTTCTAAGATTTATTCCCTTCCTTCAATATAATAGTTGTGTTTATAATTTCAACGGGTAAATAGCCGTTTGACCCTTTAAACTACTTTTTTGCTAAATTAACTCTTTAAACTATTTGAAATTAGTTAATTAACCTTTCATCGTCAAATTCGATGAAATTTATCCACTTTGCTATCAATTGATGGCACGACTTTACCCTCAAGAGTACATCACGTATGGGTCACATGCCAGTGTTTGACGTCAAATTAAGTAGATGAATTTTATTGTATCTAACTGTGAAGAGTTAATTGGTTAATTTCAAATAATTTAAAAAGTTAATTAACCTAAAAATAATTTGTAGAATCAATTTCAACTAGAGTAATAGTTCTGAGAGTCAAACAACAGTTTACTCTTACTCAAATATGTGTTAATAGTTTTCACCGAATACTTTCTACAATACATAATATATAACTTGAATTACATAAGAGGCTATACATAATATATTTTCCGTTTCTTTTGTTCTTCTGCTTTCTTGTGGGTGGGTGTGTGTGAGCCACGAGAACTAAAGTGAGAGAGAATGGTATGCTGGTCCACTTAACAGCATTTATTTTGTTTTGTTAGTGAGTGTGTGTGTCAGAGGTTGTAGTGTTGGTGCGCCTGATACAGTCTCTCGTTCTTTCCCTTTGTAATTTGATGCTGTATCTGCTGCCATTGCATGTGTTTGCGCTATTCCTGCTTGTTTTGTGCTACTGTTCGTGTCTACAACAATGTCGGGGGTTAAATACTGTTTGCTAGTCGACTTCCTTAGTTATGACCTGCTCAGTACATGAGAAAAACTTGGGATAGGATACCGATCACGTCATTTTAACGAAAGAATGATACCCTCTTGTATTTTGATTGTACCGAGTCATTATATAAGATATCTATTTAGTGAGTGAGTTACTCTAATTATGTAATCCTACAGAATCTTTTCTCTTAGTCGATGCGATAATTCACTAGTTATTCTAGACTAACCTTTAGAAACGAGGTGAAAAGGATCATAACATTTTCTAACCACATTAGCCTATTACATGGCATTATTATCTATGTATATTATCCCATGTTTGATATATATTGCTTCGTACATTTGTTGATGATGTAAATTTTGAGGTTGATAGTTGTCTAATATGGTTTCGTCATAACTTTCGCTTTCGGTTGCATGGAGGAAAAGGCCAATTAACTAAGCAACATTTATCCCGTAAAACTGAAAGA